AAAGTAGTTATTCAGATACAAGATATGGGCATAGAAATTTCTCCAAATGATATTAGCACAAAACTTTCTTTTCAATGAACTAAGGCAAGCTAGCAGTATAACTATTTTGTATTTTCTTTCCTTTTTCCTTCCTTTCTCTTTTACCCTACCCTAGTTACTCTTTCCTTTTGAACAGTTTCACATCTATTGTACATTTTGGACCTTATTTATTCTTTCAGTTTCTCACATCAGAGACAATATGATGTTTACACATGTGAGTCTGACTTATTTGACTTATGAGTGTCTTATGGTGTCTTATGGTGTCTCATCCATTTACATACAACAGGCTCAAGTTTGTCTTATGGTGTCTTATGGTGTCTCATCCATTTACATACAACAGGCTCAAGTTTGTCCTTCTTTTTGGCTGAGTAGTAGATCTTTATATAAAAAGACCACATCTTTTTATCCATCCTTAGGTTGATGGGCATTTGGGTTGTTTCCAAGATTTAGCTATTACAAATAGGGTTATTACAAACATGGGTGCACATATATTGGGGTGCTATGATGCTTCCAGGAATGAGTTTAAGAATATTGCTTCTCTTTCAATTTCATCAAAGAGTTTGAAACATAGTTATACTAGGTCTTCTCTAAATTTCTTGTAGAATTCAGCAGTGAATCCATCAGGGCTTGGCCTTTTCTTTGTTAGTAGGTTTTTAATTACATCTTTGATTTCATTGATTGATATTGGCTTATTTAGGATTTTTATATCTTTTTGATTCAGATTTGGTAATTCATATGTATCTAGGAATCTGTCCATTTTGGCTACATTTTTCATCTTACTAGAATACAAGTTTTTAAAGTAGGTATTTCTGAAGGGTCCATTGTGATTTCACTCTTTTCATTCCTAATTCTGTGGATTTGAGTTTTTTCTTTCCTTTTTTTGATAATGTTGGATAAGGGTGTGTTGATTTTATTTAATCTTTCAAAGAACCAACTCTTTGATTTATTGATTCTTTGTATTTTTTATTGCCAGTGTGTTAATTCCTGCTCTGATCTTTATAATTTCTTCACTCATACAAGCTTTAGGTTTGACTTGTTCTTTTTTGAGAAGTTTGAGGTTCACCATGAAGTTGTTTATTTGAACTTGTTCTCTTTTCCTGATATGGGTATTCATTGCTATATATTTTCCTTGTAGGAGCACTTTCATTGTATTCCATAAGTTCTGGTATGTTGTATCAGCATTATTGTTTAACTGTAGATACTATTTAATTCTTCTTTAATTTCCTCTGTGACCCAGTGGTTGTTCAGGAAGATATTGTTTAATTTCCAGGTGTTTATGTAGTTTTGTGGTTTCTTTTGCCATTGATTTCCAATTTCATTTCAATATGAATGGGATAATATGATAACATACATAATATATGTATATATTATGATAACATACATAATATATGTATATGATAATATACATAATATAATGATTTCAATTACATTATATTTACTTAAGCATGTTCTGTGAGCTAGTGTGTGGTCTATTTTGGAGAATGTTCTGAGTGCACCTGAGAACAATGTGTATTCTGATGTTATGGGGTGAACACTCTGTAAACATCTACTAAGTCCATTTGTTCAGTTCTAGCTTAATTCTAATATTTCCTTGTTGATTTTTTGTCTAGTTGATTTATTTGTGAGAGCAGGGTATTAAGGCCTTCCATTATAATTGTATTAATGGTTATTTGATTTTTCATGTCTGTTAATATTTGTTTTATGTAGTTGAGTGCACCAGTATTTGGTGCATATATATTTATGATTGTTATGCCTTCTTTTTGGAGTCTTCCCTTAACAAGTATGTAGTGACCTTCTTTGTGCTTTTTGATCAGTCTTGGCTTGAGATTCACATTGCCTACAATCAGAATAGGTACCACAGCTTTTTTCTGGGTTCCTGTGGCATGGAATTTTTTTTCTATCCTTTGACTTTTAGTTTATGAATTTATTTTTGAGTTAAACATATTTCCTGAATGAAGTGTATTGTTAGATCTTGTTTCTTGATCCATTCTCTTAGTCTGTTTCTTTTGATTGGTTAGTTGAGATCATTTACCTTGATGGCTATAACTAATATGTATTGGATTATCTTTTACATCATATTTTCCTATTGTTGGTTCCCTGTCTTGCCCCTGTTTTTAATTGCTTACTCTGCCTGCTGGCTTCTTTCTATTGGTATTCTTGTGATTGTTTTCTTCTTTTCTCTTTTTAATATGTACTTCAAAGAGTTCTGCATACTCAGTTTGTTGGTCATGAATTTGTTTTTTTTGGTCATGAATTTGTTCAGTTGCTCTTTGTTTGGAAGTATCTTATTTCAGTATTGACTTTGAAAGATAGTTTTGTGGGGTACATCGATATGAGTTGAAGGTTGTTTTAGGGCTTGAAAAACCTCATTCCAAACTCTCCTTGATTTGAGGGTTTGTGTTGGGAAGTATGCTGTGATTCTGGTGGAATTTCTTTTATAGGTGATTTGTTTCTTTTCTGTAGCCACTTTTAATATTCTGTTCTTGTGCTGAATTTCTGGAATCTTGATTATTATATGCCTTGGTGTAGACTTCTTTTGGTCATGGTTATTTGGAGTTCTATGTGCTTCATTTATTGTTTGTCAAATTTTTTATGTATGTTTGGGAAGTTTTCTGCCATTCTTTCTTTGAAGAGGTTTTTTTTTTTTTATGGCTTTTGCACAGTCTCCACTTTTCTCACTGATTCCAATCAATCTTATGTTGCTGTTCTTTGCTTCATCTTGTAGGTGTTGGATGGATTTTTCATGGTCTCTTGCTATTTTAAAGATATCTTTCTTTTCATCATTGTTAGTCACAATCCTGTCTTCTAGATCTGATATTCTATCTTCCCATTTAATCTGTGGCATATATTTTCAATGGAGTCCTTAATCTCATGAATTTCTGTTTGTATCTGTTTCATGGATTTAATTTCTTTCCTATGTTGGGCATTCATGGTTTCCATCATTTTCATGAGCTCCTCTAGTTTTTTGTCTGTGTCTGTTTTAATGTCCTTCATTTTGATTATCATTTCTTTTTGCACCTTAGAGATTATTTTTCTGTAGCCTCTTCCATTTGTTTTTTACTACTGTTTTTATCATTTTGGTAAGTTCCAGTGGTTAGCTTCCTATTAACCTCTATCTCATTGTGCTCTGGACTTGTCCTGGGTGGGCTGGGGGCCTGGGGTTGCATTTTGTTTTTGTGTCTTCTCATTTTCTGTTTTTTACTTTTTATTTATTTTGTTTTCTGTGTTGATACTTATAGATTTCTTATGGTAGGTGGCTTTATCCCTTGTATTGAGGCTTTCCTCAGAAATGTCTGTTCTTCTAGATATTGGTGAATTCTTGGTCTTTGTGTCTACCCTCAGAACCTACCTTCCCAATGCATTTAAGGATGAGAAGTTGCTATCTATTTGGCTCAGCACTCAGTGTTTTGGTACTGCACTATGGTGATGGTTGTGACCCCAGACAATCACAGTGTTGTTGTACAAGGGAGAAAAACTGTTCATAACTGGTATGACATCCTGGCTTAATTAGTACACTTAGCAGTTTCAATAGTCTCAAGCTCAGTCTGGCTATTGACAAACTGTAGTAACTATTAACTTGATACTTTTAACCATGAGAGCAAATTCTACTGTTACATAACAGAATCCAACATATAGTAGAAACTTGTATGTAATATTTTTCCCTTTACGGAGTGATTTTACCATGTTGTAGGGGGTATGATTTTGAGGGATAGAGGGCATGATAGAGAGATTAATGAGGTCAAATGTAGTAGGATCAAGGCTAGAAGGCAAAGGATGATCATCTAAGTTTTGGGAAACTGGAGGACACAGGAGGGAAAGAATGGAAGAGAAAGCAAAGTAGCACTAAGTGAAGCAGAAAGAGAAGAGATGGTGTTTACTCACATGAATGTGTTACAAAATCAAGTGAGATAGTTGAGAAAAAGACTAAGAAGATGAGTAGAAGAAAACTAAAAGAAAGGTAATAAATCTAGATCATGAAAGAAGAAAAAGAAAAACAAGGCAAAAAAACAAAAACTAAAAATAAGCATAAAAAAGTACCAAAACCAGAAAAACAAAAACAAAACAATCCCAAGTAGACAGAAAAAGGAAAACCAATCAAACAAACAGAAAAATAAAAGTAGTAAATTTCCTCTGGTGTCTGCAGTTCTGTGGTAGAACCAACTCGGATTCCCATAATGTGTTGTATACTCCAGCCAAGTTTGCAGTGGGATTTATGCTGGGTATGGGGCTGATCTTGGCCTCTGGATGTAGGGGCTTGTCTTCTGTTTCTGGAGTTCTCCCTGAGCCCTTAGATAAAAAATAAATCGTGCCTCCACCGCTCGCTTGTATTCCACACATCTGTGTGCTGAAGCACAAGCTGATTCACATGATTTATCAACTGCTGTCTCACATTCTTACTGCCGCTTTGGACTTTTCCATGCTGCTGGTCCTGCCTTCCCATCCTATGTACCCCTGCCTGGGCCTCCGTGGATTGCTGGGGGTTTCTGCCTGGGCTGGGCTGGTGTGTAAGCCCTTGAGGGGGCCCTGGTGGGTCACCTGGGGTTCCCGCTTGGGCTTGTTTTACTGGGTTTTCCTAGTTACCTGTGTCTTGTTCAGACAGCTAGATGATTCTGTCACTGAGGACATGCAGCACTGGTCTCATCTGTCTCTGAAAATGGCCATGTCTTGTCCAGTATAACTGAACTGTTGAAGAGAAATAAACTCAGTTATCTCCTTTCCTTCTCTAAGAGCAGAGATCCCAAAGAAGATCATGCACACAAAATTCCTGGTGTGGGACCCAACAATCAGTAGGTGTTATCTCAGTGGGGGTGGCAGGGACAATCACTCCAACACCCATATTTGGGAGCAGCATCTCTAGAGACAGCTTGGCTTATCAAGGGGGAGAACTAGGACAGACAGGTCAGGGAAATGAGGTAACTGCTGATGTCACAATTTCCCCATTTATGTTGGATACATGGCTCTTGAACCACCTCAGGGCACAGCAAGAGGATGATGGCTGCAATAAACAAAGGACCAAGGGGACATGGTATTGAGAGCTCTGGGGACAGAAGGAGACCAGAAGTAAACACTGAAGCAGAGCAGGCTTGATAGCCAAAGAAGGATGAGGAATCACAAAAAGATCACAGGTAATAGCCTGGGCAGTGCCTTTCTCATATCAGTGTACCCAGAGAGGAAAGTTCAAGGAGAAAGTAGAGACACACACCCAACTCTGAGGAGGTCCTGTCCCTCTGCTCATGAAAGGCTCCCAAGTCCTCAGCATTTACCTTCAGTGGTTCCCAGTCCTGTTCACCCCTGCAACTCAGTAAAACATACTGATGTTCGAGCCTTGCCCCACTTGTATTTGATGCGCCCCCCAAGATACATGACCAAATCAGATAGAGCTCAGGACCCAAAGTACATTCAGTTAGGATTGCTACACACCTTAGTTATTAAGAACCTATAGGGAGGAAGATGATCAAGAACCTCACAAAAAAGAGATTCTTTTACAAAGTAATAATTTACATTATTTTGCTTATTTTAAAAAATTTAGAATATGGAAAAAAGACATAAATAAATAAAATTTAAAAATGGCAAAAGACCTTATAATCAATGAAGGCACCCTAGTATGAATTGGGATGGGAGAGAGAGGAAAACAGCAAAGAAGATGGACTGGGGAAGGCTGTGTCTTCTTTCTAGGGCTTGGTGAAGGCTGACCCAGCACCCAGGCACCCACTGCAGGCAGTGTGTACTTGCCTCAGTGTGAAAGACACAGGAGTTGTCTAAGAAGATCGTGCGGAGCCAGAGCTCCTGGGTGCAAGCTCAGGTGCTGTCACTTGCCTGGGAAGATGTTCACTGACTGCCTGGGGTCAGAAAGCAGGTTCTGCATAGCTGACCTACTGGGTCCCAAGGTCACAGACTGCTTCCAGGCAGCCTCGCAAGCACCCTTTCCCTTCCCTGACTGTGGATGTCTTTTCAGGGAAGTCTTCAAAATATTTAGCGTAGGACTCATGCAGGGCACAGAGTGGGCTTTTTTCCCAGTTGCAGAACCTTCAGGCAGGGTGAAAAGTGGATCTGCCCTTGGTGTAGTAATTCTAAGATTTTTTTTGCTCATGGCTGCCACTGGTAGGGGTCTGGAGGCCTCATGTGGAGCACGGTGAGCCAAACTCACAGTGGATGGCCCTGGAGTTCTGTATTGGTCAGCCTTTATGTCGCCAGGACCAAATACCCAGCAAAAACAACTTAGAGACTAATAAGTTTATTTTGGCTCTTGGTTTCAAAGCGTTCAGTCCATAGCTGTGTGGCTTGAAGGCAGAAACATCATGATGGAAGGGAATGGCAAGAGAAAGCTGCTTAGCTTATGGCAGCCAGGAAGCAGAGCACAGGGAGAGGGACAGCAGGAGATAATACCCTCCAAAGGCAGCATCTTCAGTGACCCAGCTCCCCCAGCAGGGCCCCGCCTCCTACTCAGCTGTGAGCATCAGTGGATTCATTCTTTGATGAGTCCAGCACCCCATGATCCAATCACCTCTCCAGGAGTTTCTGAAGCATTCCCTCCTCATCTTTCTAGGCAAAGTGAGAGCACTTTGGCTGCCACATGGGAATGGGTTACTGCACGTGTGAGTGTGTAAATGTCTGTGTGTCACTGTGTGTTTGTGTCCATGTATTGTGTCCATGTGTATCTGTGTATGTCTGTGAGGGTCTTCATGTGCATGTGTGTTGGTGTCTATGTATTTCTAGGTTTGTCTGCATATCTGTGTATTTCTATATTTGTGTATCTGTGTGTATATCAGAGTTTTGGTGCGACTGTGTGTGTCTATGTGCACTTTCTAAAGACCCTACTGGCTGTGCCTTCTGCTAGCATGTTCCCTGCTGGCTCCTCTGGCCCACAGCTGTGAACAGGCTCTGAGGACGATGCAAGGCCACGGGTCCTTGGGGAGCTAGGAAAGGACAGCAGCTGGTACTGCCATTCCCTGAGGGATATGGGCAGAGAAAAGGAGAAAAATAGAAGTAAGGGAAGCTTGGGGTCAAGGGAAGAATGCTCGAGAGGGGAGACTTGGGAATTTTGGAAAGGGAAAAAGAGGAGGGGTGTTGTGGAGGGGGACATTTGGGAAATGCTGGTGAGAAGGGCAGAGGGAGGGAACTAAAAGAGGGTGAGGAGCTGCAGCTAGGGGCCCAGGAAAAGGGCACAGAAAATGGATGCTGGTGGCCACTGCTCCCCAGGGCCTATCTCTCAACTAGCTTGCTAATGTCTGAGCCTCCAGTGCTGTCACTTAGTAGTCAGCTCCAACCAGCACAGGCAGCGGATGCAAACACCCAGTTTAGAAAAGTGCTGCTGACAAGTTGACATTATGGCTCATGCATACACTCACATTCATTTCTTCATTTGACTTGGGCCAGCGACCAGCTTAAAACAGGGGCCCATCTCTGTCTTTGACTGGCTCAGGATCCATTTGGGTCATAGGTACATCAGCCTCTTAAACCTGAAGGTTTGTCTACCTAGCAGTCTTCAGCCCTACCCAGCCCATGGCTGCCCCATCCTCATCACTATCTCCAAGCTGTGGACCCTTCCTCCAGGACAGGCCAGTAACTTGCCAAAGGTCACACGACTTGCCCGTGGTAGACCCAAGTGTTCAAATTCTAAGCTGCTGGGTCATATTGCTGTTTGACATTGTTTCCCCATCCCTGTACACAGTCCAGTCTCTAACTCTGATGCATGACCTTCAAATATGGCTTTGTCTAAGCCTTTTCTGTCTGTTGGACTTGCACCTTAGCTGAATCAAAATTTAGCCAGCTTTTGAATCACACCTCAGATTTCCCAGCAACTACTAGCCACTGGCTAAGCCCTAGCCTGGGATCCCTGAACCTTCTGTGAATTCCCCAGTCCCATTTGTCCTCAGGTCACCCACATGTCCCTGATGACAGAACAGTTAGGCAAGCAGGAAGGCAGACGCAGGAAAGGTGCTGAGAAGGAAGTATTTCAAGTCGGAGTGGCCAGCATAGCATCTGGTGGACCCTAGTGAAGGGCATGCTGGGGAATCCCCTGCAGAGATGGCAGCTGGGGGGCAGAGTCTCATCCCTGGCTGACAGAGGGTGGCGCTATGTGGCATGTGCCTGGAAGTCAAGGAGAAAGGAGAGAGCCCTGGCCAAGTTTCAGTGAGTGCCTAGTTGAAACCAGATACCAGGAATGTGTAACAGGTCAGGCCTGTTGCCTGGGAAATATTTAGCTTACTTTGATTTTCAATTTTTATTGCTTATTTCTCAAATAAATGTTTATTTTACCTTTGTAATTCTTAAGGATTTTTAGGAACTTGGGAAAGAATGATCTTGTTTTGGTTTTAGATACTTTTGGCCTTAGAGATATGAGCAGACTTGCTAATTACAGCCTAAAAGGCAGTGACTGAAGGCCAGGTCTGTTTTCTTTGGTGGGTGCAAGCTGCCCTGTGGTATATCAGCGTCTTTCTAATCACATAAAGACCTCCCTCCCTCTCCCCGTTTCCTTGTTTTCAGCATACCCAATTCCCTCCTCCTACTCCTCCCTCCAGGGCTCAGGACTGATACTAAAGCGAATCAGCAACCCAAACTCACATTCAAACCCACACCCACACACCCTACCCACGCTGGTAGCAAGCATTACAGTATGCTTTCTGAGAGTGCCTGGATCCTAAATCAAAAAAGCAGTTCTTCTTCAATGTCTTCCATTTCCTTATTTTAGCAATTTCTGTTCTATTCCTGTCTGCTTCTTCCCACTCGTTTCCCCTGTGCTGCCATCCTTCTATCTTCGAAAGTAAATTTTTACAAATTTGAAATACACAGAAAGTTTACAAAGAAAAGACAAACAGCTTACATCTTTAAGAGTGGTCACAAGCACTCCCTGGGTAACATCTACCCACATGTAAAAATAGGAAACTACCAGCCCCTAGATGTGGGACTCGGTGGTCTCTCGGTGGTTCCTGGGAGAAAACAGCGAGAGGATTTAGAAAATAAAGACAAGATACAATAGCCGGGGTCAGGTGGAGTTACCTCTTGCCTGATGAGCAAGGGGACTGACTTCAACAGTAGTGGCGTGTATTTATACCCTGGAGAGGTTGGTTAATTTCCACCTCGCTGCCCAGGAACCAGTTAACAAGTTACAACTGCTTGTTTACTCTAAGGGGCTTGTTTACTTCCAGGAGCTCCGGTGTTCTCAGGCTGGCTTCATCCTGCATGAGCAATTATTTTCCAGCTTTAGCGGCTCCCAACACCTAGAAGAATCCCTAGGTCCCCTTCTATCAAGAAAACTCCCATTCTGAGTCTCAGAGATAATAACTACAGTCACCCCTCAGTATTTTTGAAGGTTTGGTTTCAGGATTCCCATGAATATCAAAATCTGCAGAAGTGCAAGACCCTTATGTAAAATGGCATAGTATTTGTGCACAACCTATGCTTGTCTTTCTGTATTTCTTAAGTCATCTTTAGATTATTATAATACCTAATACAATGTAGATATGATGTAAATAGTTGATAAGTAATGACGATCCAAAAGCTTGTACATACTCAGTATAGACATTTTTTGGGGGGTGGTGAACCTATTGCGTACGTGCTGCAGCAGGTTATTTGTATCACTGAAAGCTCTAAAAGGTGACCTTCACTACTCTATGTAGATATTTGGGTTTGTTATTAAAAATAGTGCAGTTACAAACATTCTTTAATCTTTCACGTTGCACATTTCTGAACCTAGGAGTGGAATTGTCAGATCAAAGGCTGAGCATATATTTGTCTTTAGTAGATGATGTCAAACTGTTTTAAATATACATTCCTATGGCAGTGTGTGAGTGTTGTTTTCATACTATATTACTCCCTCACAGTATGTGATTTTAGCTCTTCTTGGGGGTCTGTAGTGGTTTCTCATTATAATACTAATGCAAATTTCTGAGAGTCTGAGAATCTTTTCATTCATCTATTTTATTGTTTGGATATCATCTTTTGTGATGTTTGGATTCAAATCTGTTGACCAATTTTTTTGATTTAGTCTTTTTTCTAATTTTTAGCATTTTTTATTTTGTTTAAATACTTTGTATACAGCCTTATTTTGGTTATGTGGGTGGCACAAATCTCCCATTCTGAGCCATTTTTTTGTGTGTGTGCTCTTCTTATTTCTTTTTATGGA